TTTTATAACATAAATTTGACTTTTAATGTTAGATTTTATGGTGATAACTAGATTTATAAATTTTATTCATTCTTACTTAATAGAAAAATCACTGAACATTATAAATTTACGTTTTAAAATTTTACACTGACATTTAATAAGATTTTATTTTATATTATTTTAGTGCAATGGTTCTCAACCTGTGTTCTGCAAATTTGCCCTGAGTGTTCTGTGAAAAAAAATTTTTTTTAAGTTTTTATTGCAAATTTGAAATTTGTTCTGATGTACTACAACATATTATTTTATTTGTAGACAATTCCATATTACTATTTTACTTAATGCAATGACGTTTTGATTCAGCATGACACACAGGGCCGGATTAACCCACTTTGGGGCCCTAGACATTTTCTTCTTCCGGGTCCCCTCCCGGCTCTTTCAATTAATAAAATCTTGTTACTATTATTTCTATTAAATTGCATATGGACAGTTGCTTTATAAAAAATAAAAGCAAAATTATTTAACAATATTTCACAGGATTTAAGAACACATATAGTTAATATTATTCTTATTACTATAAAGAATATTCTAAATTATTGGGAGTTTTACTTTAAATAAGAAGAAACATAAGAATACGAGGGTTGTTCAAAAAGTTCCCGAACTTTATTTATTACCAAAAAAAAAAAAATACTTCACATACAATTTATTTGTTGGGTCCCTTTCAAAGTAGTCTCCTCCGCAGCATATACACTTCCACTTTTTGAAACAGTCCTGGAACGCTTTTTCCGTAATACTCATAAGCTCCTCTGTCGTTTTTTTCTATCTCTGCAATGGTGGCAAATGTTTTTCCTTTGAGCGCGTTTTTAGTTTGTTGGAGAACAGGGAAAAGTCGCATGAGACCAGGTCGGGTGGGGAAGCACACAGCGGTCTTGTTTTTGGCCAAAAGCTCATGTGTTCTGAGGGACAAATGAGCCGGCGCGTTGTCGTGGTGAAAGAACCACTCGCCGCTCCTCCAAAGTTCGGGCTGTTTTCTCCTGATTTTGTCTCTTAGGCGATTCATAACACCAGGTAGTACTCCGTGTTGACTGTCTGGCCTGTAGGTAGGTATTCGTGATGCACAACCCCCTTTG